GGGGGATTGGGGAGGGTGGGGCGGGGCTTTACAGGAGAAGTGACAGAAGAATGGAGAGACGGGCAAAGTCAAGAGCCATAGAGGGACCAGAAGAGACAAGAGGTGGTGATTGATGGCTGTGGATGCTGAAAGGAGATGAGGAGGGAGGGTGCAGAATGCTGGGACTCCTGGCTTGAAGGCTGGGGCACTGGGGAGCCATACCATAAATCGCAGGCAATGAAGAGGGGGGCTGATAAAGGAATATGTTGGCCAGACTGCTGGACATGGGCAGAGGAATGTGTTGTGTGGCCACCCAGCTCTGGCTCCGTGGAGGGTCCACAGATGACCCCTCCTCCCCCCCCGGGCCCCTGTCTGAGAATCCTCCAGGGTGCAGTGTGAAGGCTACCATTGGGCCTAGGACCCAGCAGCAGAGCCCCAGAGCACCAGGAGCCAGCTCACCCAGCTCGCTTTACCAAAAAAGGACATTTTCTCAGTTGGAAGGTTTGCCCAGCCTGTTCCCTGCTCCCCCCACCTGAGGTTTCAGGTTTCCAGGGACGTATGCGTCTCTGAAAAGTTTAGAACTTTGAATCACACATACCCATGGACCGGCAAACATGAGCCTGGGAAATGCATGTAGCACAGTGAGCTTTGATGTCACAAATGTCTCCTCCTTCATCCATCTTCTCCTCCTCCTCCTCCTCCTGCACCACCACAACCACAACCATCACCGACAATACCATTATCATCGTCATCATCACTCAGCCCCATCTTGGGCTGTTATACACTTTCATGTGCGGCCTCTCAGTTTTCATAGCACCTCCAAGAGGGGAGAATTATCCTACAGTTGAAGAAACTGAGGCACAGAGAGGCAAAGCCACTCACTCACCCAAGGTCCTAGAGTACCAGTGGTGTTGGGACAGAGGTGAGGACAGCGAGGGGGACTCGTGCAAGTGCTGGGTCTGACCTGATCTTTGTTTAAACTTGTTATAGCTTATTCATCTAGGATTTTTCTTTGCATGAATTTTGACTTTTAAAAATATCTCATTAAAATATTATGTATCTCCATTACCAATTTTTTTGGCATCCCCCTAAATTTAGAGCCCGAGGTGGATGGCTTTTTGCATCAGCCTGGCCCCAGCCTTGGCAGAGCCAAAATTGGAGTCCAGGCTGCTGACTGCAAAGCCACACTCTTAACTGTCCCCTAGGCTGCCCCCTTGCCTTACATATGTGCACGGTGCATTCGTTTATGTATACTTCCATTCTGTAAAACATGCTCTCCTTCAGTAAACATTATTATGGCAGAGTGGCGCGGCCAGAGGCTTGGAGCTCAGGTAGTTCTGGGCTTGAACTCCACTACTCACTATTTTTAAAAAATATTTTTTATTGAATTAGAGAGAGAGAGAGAGACAAAGGGAGAGGGAGTAAAAGAGAAACATCAATGTCAGAGCAAAACATTGATCGGCTGCCGGCTGCCTCTTACATGCCCCCTGCCAGGGATTGAGCATGAATCCCTGCCCAGGAGTCAAACCTTTTGTACATGGGATGATGCTCAACCAACTGAGCCACTCCAGCCGGCTCCACTACTCACTATTGAGTGGAAGCATAGCCTGTGGTTAAGGACACAGACTCCAGCTCCCAGAATGCCTTAGTTCAAAATCTCACTCTGTCACTTGCTGGCTGTGTAAGTTTGGGCGAGAGCCATAAAGCACTCTTGTGGCCTGGATTTCTCCTCTGTAAAGGGGGGTGATGGTGATAACATCTGCCACATGCAGTTATTGGGGAAATTGAGTGAGTTAATTTCTGTAAAGTCCTTGGCATATAGTAAATACTTTGTGTTAACTATTATTTTGCTTCCTTGGGTAATATACCTGTCTGAGACTCAGTTTCCCCACCTGTGAAGTAGGGACAGTAAAACTACCTCCCAGGCAATTTTGAGGACCAAAAGGGACAACATAAAGGGCTTGGCACATGGTAGGAGCTTAGTAAAACTTACCTCCCTTATTGGGGGCCCAATTCTGTGCTGGAGATTGAGATACAGAGATAGAGGGGCACCCCTGGCTGAGGAATTAACTCACTGCACATGTGAGCACTAATTTGACCTTTCAGTTCCCCAAGGCACTGCGCTCTTGCCCCCTCTCAGGGCCTTTGCACATACTCTTCCCTCTCCCTGGCTTGCTGTCCCCACCTCACCTCTTAGGGGCCTAATTGAAGTATGTCTTCAGGTCTCACCGCAGATGTCACATCCTCAAGGAAACCTTCCCTGACACCCCCTCCCCATCTCTAGCAAGTCTCTCCTCTACATTTTCATTGCCTTCTCTATTCTTCCTTCATGGCACATCTCATGACCCACAGTGAAGTACTCTTAACCCAGTTCCAGTTTATTAAATAACTAGAGGCCGATGCACGAAAGTCCTGCAAGGGGCTCGGCCCTCGCAGCCTCAGCTTCGTCCGGAAGGACGTCCGGAAGGTCATTGGCTGTCTGGTCTAATTAGCATATTACGCTTTTATTATTATAGACTTTTGTTTGTTTGATGAGGGCAGGGAGTGGGCTTTTCTCGTCCATCGGGGTCTCTGTCCTCAGCTCCTGGCCACACATGGCGCATGCTCATGCACACAGGTCTGGAGTCGCCCGGTTCACATTCCCAGCTCCTGCACTCATGACTCTGTGACCAAGGGCACGCGTAGCCTCTCCATGCCTCAGTTTCCTTTTCTGTACAATAGGGAAAATAATGACAGCACCGGCTTTTTAAGGCATTGTGATGATTACATGAGATATTTTTCCTAGTTCCTTTAGAGCAGTGCCAGCCCATTCATCAATGGGGCTGTTACTATTTTAGTAGGTGCTTCTATTAATCAGGCTAGACCAGTGATGGCGAACCTAGGACACGCGTGTCAGAGGTGACACGCGAACTCATTCTTTTGATTGATTTTTCTTTGTTACATGGCATTTAAATATATAAAATAAATATCAAAAATATAAATCTTTGTTTTACTATGGTTGCAAATATCAAAAGAGTTCTGTATGTGACACGGCACCAGAGTTAAGTTAGGGTTTTTCAAAATGCTGACACGCCGAGCTCAAAAGGTTCGCCATCACTAGTCTAGACTAACAGCTGAAATAAGCATCCCTTGAATCTCAGGTGTTTAATGCAATACATGTTTAAGACTTGCTTAAATGTTCTACATTTAATGTTTAAACTTAATGCTTAAACATTCCAATGTGGGACTGTGGGAGGGGACTTTGTTCTTTGTTATAGTCATTTATGGACCCAGGTTCCTTCCACAGTGTTTCTTAAAGTGGAGTCCACAGAGGGTTCTCTGGATGTAATCTGGGGAGTCCACGGACTTGGATGCTGTTTTAGGTTAGATTCCCTAGAAGCTGAGTCTGAGGGGGAGATTTTTGTGCACATGGTTTAATGGGGAAACACTCACAGGAGAGAGGGGAGTGAAGGAAGCAGGATTGGACAGGGAGTGGCTGAGCAGGATGTGGTCTTACCTGGCACCCTGCTTTAACCTGGTCCCACAGGCACTCTTGAGCCTGGCTTGTACCATAGAGTTGGTTCCTCTAGGTGCAAGAGGGAACTGGGGTGTCATCAGTCATTGGTTTGGGCTGCCTGCCTGTTTGCAGGGTGGGGAGGTTGTTTTGGCCTTGGAGCAAGGTGTCTTCTATTGGTTGCAGTTCTATGGGACAGCAATGAGCCAGTAGCAGGGAGTACAGCACCTAGGGGTGGGTACATCTGCCCACTAAAGGGATCCTGGCGGAGCACCAAGTGTTTACCACCGATGGGAAAGCTACATCTTCATTTTCATCAGCCTCTAACTGAAACTTAGCATTTTCCTCAATCATGGAAAAAAGCAATGGACTACAGTAGTATTAGTATATCTGTGACTTTGTCACCAGTAGAAATCACATGTCACATTACTATTGTTGCAGACCCTTGAACTATCCGTTATGCTAATTTGTACTTTAAAATTGCAGTAGGTAATAGACCTGCTAGTATTTTGTTTAATATATTAATAAAGAATATATTGTATTACAAATGTGGTCCTTTAAATATTTTGATAACCGCGGGTCAATATAATGGCATCTTTTTGTAATCATATGTCCTTTTTGCATCTTAAAAAAGGATCCATAGGCGCCACCGGATGCCAAAGGGGTCTGTGACACAAAAAAGATCAAGTGCCCTGTTCTGGGGCCTTGGCCTCCTTTGCATTTCACCAGCAACAGGAGACAAAAGAGAGGAAACAGAGAATCATAGGAGAAATTTTTATAGGCCAGGCCTGGAAAGAGCACACATCACTCCTTCCCACAATGCATTACCTAGGACTCAGTCACCTGACCGTGCCTAGCTGCAAGGGAGGCTGGGAAATGCCTATCTGTATGCCCAGAAAGAAGAGGAAATGTTCTGGGGAATGCACAGTATTGGGCCACAGGCCTCAATAAATATTCATTACAGCCTGAGTGAATGAATGCTCTGTCCAAGGTGTCTCTTTGTGAGTTGGGGAGAAGGGACAGAGGGCTGGTTTTCTGGAAGGATGCTGAGTTTCCATCATGTTGTCTCCTAGGACAAGCCATGCCAAGGCCAAAGCTGAAGCTGCAGAACAGGCTGCCCTGGCTGCCAACCAAGAGTGCAACGTTGCCCGCAGTTTGGCCAGGGAGCTGGCTCCAGACTTCTACCAACCAGGTAGGGCCAGCCGAGGAGGGGACAGGCAGGACAGGGTGGGGGGAGGTCCCCAAGGGCGGACACTTTTCTTTTTCTTTGCTGGAAAGCTGAGATGCCCAAGTGTGTTCACGATAGCCTGTGAGTTCTAGAAGCTGTGGGCATGATGCAGGCATGGGATGGTCTGACACAGGACTCGTGCTGAGATTGTGATGGGGGCATCAGAGGCCCCCAGTTGCAGACTGGCCCCGCCCCAGGCTGTCTCTTCTTCCTGAGAAATGAGGCTGCAGAGTAAGGAGGCCCTCCTGGCTCTGATACAGACCTTGTACTTAGAGTGACGGGAGCCCCCCAGAGTGGGGTATTGTTGTTCTCTGCATGGAGGGTTTTAAGGTGAGTGGCCTGATTAGATTTGTTTTCTAAACATGATTCTGGCTGCAGCAAGGAGACCAAGGGTAAACTAGGTAAAAGAGCGGGGAAGCCCTAACCAGTTTGGCTCAGTGGATTGCGCGTCCGCCTGTGGACTGAAGGGTCCCAGGTTCGATTCCGGTCACTCGGTTGTGGTCACATCCCCAGTAGGGGGTGTGCGGAAGGCAGCTGATCTATTTTCTCTCTCATCGATGTTTCTAACTCTCTCCCTTCCTCTCTGTAAAAAATCAAAATATATATATATATATATTTTTAAAAGAGCTGGGAACACGGAATTGGGCCTGCGAGGCTAAGTCGTTTCTGGTCCCAGCGCTCCCCCTGCTGGTCCCAGGAAGAGCGACACTGGCTGGCTGCCTCTGCCTTGGCCCTGCATTTTTTTCACCTAACTACTGGTCATCCTTTTACTAGTATTTATGAAATAGGCATGATTAGGCCAACTTTTCAGATAAGGGAATGGAAGGAGACCAGGGTGACCGTTAAGAGCATAAAGTCCGGAGCCAGCCTCCCTGGCCGCTCGTCCCGGCTCTGCCCTTTGTCATCTGGGCGCCTTTGGGCAATGACTTCGCTTCTCCGAGCCTCCTTTTCTTCATCTGTTAAATAGAGGCTAATAACATAGCCCCACAGGGTTACTAACGCTGTCAGGCGAGTCAGTATTTGGAAACATGTGGCTCACGGTAGCTGGTGGGTAGGCGCTCGGCGAGGCTGAGCAGCTTGCCCAGGGCACCGCACCGGGCGGTGGTTCCGGGTTCGAACCCGCCCCGCGTTACCTCCCGCAGGCCCGGAATACCAGAAGCGCCGGCTGCTGCATCTAATCTTTTCTCTCTATTCCTGAGGATGATAATGTTTTTAATTCATCTGTTTATTCCAAGGTTCTTTTAAGAGTTCATTTTTCCCCAGCTCCTGCCCCATTATTTGTTTGTTCTCAGAGATCCCTCAAGCATCCACTGGGTGTCCAGCCGCATTTAGAAATGAGACATGAACACCTGATTAGGGCTATTTTAATGAATGGATGCCTCTAGATGACTGGTGAGCTTCAATATGCCAGTTTTGCTTTTCACCTTGCCACCTGTCTTCTGAAGTAATGGTGCTTTTGATTTCTGAATCCTTTCACAATTCAGAAACCCAAATTGGCTTGCCTCTTGCTAGTTTCCCAGTATAAGTAATTACATGTTTTCTAAAGATTTATTGCGCTATTTAAATACAAAAATTATGCACATTAATGTATACATCTTCATGAATTTAGACATATCCATACATTTATGATACCATCACTACAAGCAAGGTACTAAATACGTTCATCATCTCCAAAAACATTTTTATGCTTGTTAACTATAGGTACCGTTTTATAGTAGATCTCTTGGGGGGGGGTGATGGCACAGGATTGGGCTGGGGGAACCCCAACAGGGATGTGGGCTCAGTCAGGGACAGCCTGATCCCTGGGAGACCTGGGAGCATGTTACACTGCAGAGTCCCCGATGGCGGGGGCCTGGCCTGTGGACCTTTATCTGGTCAGCAGGGGGCAGTTCTCTGGAGCCTGGGGCAGCTGGGAGCCTAAGCAGCTGGCATGGCAGGGAGTGAGGGGTGCATCTGCAGGGCCAGGGGGATCCTCTTCTACAAGGTGTAGCAGGGAGGGCTTACCTGCGGGGAGGTGGGGGGGACCAGGAAGGGCCCACTAGGGCTTGTTAGAGGAGGCTAGGACCTAGGTAGGAATTGCAGTGACAGTGACACTAGGCTCCTAGGGTCTGATGAATGCAGCCCCGGAGGACTTCGAGGCAAGGCCCGTTCCTGGGTTCCAAGGAACTCTTCCAGCTCTGGTGGCCTCCGTCCTGGTGCTGGACACAGCGGGGGGGGGAGGGGGTGCTCTCAGGAGGGCCCTTCCGAGGTTCCTGCTTTCTGTCCGCCTGTAGTGATGGGAAGGGGAGGAGGGGGTGGTTCAGAGGCCATGGGGACGCAGGCAGCCTCTCTCCCTTGCTTTCAGGTCCCCAACACCGTCCTCATCTGCATGGTGATCCTGCTTAACATCGGCCTGGCTATCCTCTTCGTTCACCTCCTGACCTGACCCTCGTCTGCCAGGTGAGGCTGGGGGAGGGGGTGGGAGCTAATCGAAAGTTCTGGGCACCAGGGTGTTGGAATTGCTGGAAAAAATGGCCTGTTGCCTCCTGGGCCTTCATCCTGTGGTTAATTGAGCCCCACCCCCCATCAGAGGCAGGGATCTAGAATGTGGATTTGATAGATCATGCCACACACACACACACCACGTGCACCTCTCATTAGCTCAGCATTTGTGAGCACCTGGTTTCTATCAGGTGCGCACTGGGGGCTTCTCTCACTTATCCATTCATTTGACAAACATTTACTGAGCAACTGCTTTGCTGGGATCTAGGGATACAGTAGGGACTCACTCCTGGACTCCTAGGGAATGAGAAATGGGGTGAACATAGTGGGAGTAAACCCTTAATTTACAGCTCATTATGTAAAAGTCTCGCAGCTCAAATGTCAGGCAAAACAGCTCTTGCCCCTGGCTCCCCAGACCCTCACAGGTCTGGAGGGAGTTCAGCTGGGATGGCTGGACCCTCTTCTCTCTGCCTCTTTTCCTCTCTCACACCCCAGCCCCCAGCGTCCCTGAAACCCTCTGTCAGTCCGTTGGTTCTGTCCATTGGTTTTCTCCCTCTGATGGAGCTGGGAGGGTGGTCTGGGTAAGGTCCCATGAAAAGGAGGTGAAGTGGGCTGGGTTAAAGGATAAGTGGTTCTCCCTGGTCTCAGGCTGAAGTATCTACCAGACAAATAAAATCTTTCTCCTGCGAGGACCAGTCTTTACAGGGTAAGTCCTGTGCTTGGTGATGCTCACAGGGTGTCTGCCTCCTGCCTGCCCCTCCAAAGGCCCTCCTCCCAGGTCCTAGCTCAGTGTGGGCTGGGGGATCCATCTCAGTCCCAGAGAAGGAGAAGGAATCCCTGTCCTGTCCCCATGTAAACAGCCAATGACAACATTAGCCTGGAGGTGCCGCCTGGGGTACATGTGTGTTTCACAGGGGGTGGGGAATGAGTGCTGCAGGGACCTGAAGGAGGGAGGGGGTGAGCCTGTTGGCAGCGGGGAGGAGAGAGGAAGGGAAGCATGAACCAGGCAAAGGGAACAGCACCTGCAAGTGAGCAGAGGCAGCATCTGGAGGGAAAATGAATTGTGTCTGATCCCACCGAGTCAGAGCCGTGCGGCAGGTATCTTGCCCCAGAGAAGATCAAGCCCGAGGCTTGAACCCTGCCTTGAACCTGGCCCAGCCTCCGTGTACCCTCCCTCCTTCCCTCACCTGACCTTCTCGCTGTCTGAGGACACAGAGACCCACCTTTCTGCAGCGCTGGGCAGGGTGGCCAAGGAGGACTGGACTCTGGACCTGGAGCCCTGGGTCCCAGCTCACACCCACGCTGCAAACATTTAAGGAGGCCTCCCATGGTGCCCGTGCTGGGTGTGGAGGTGCCCAGAGGGATAGAATGTGCTGGAAGCCCTCCTCGACCTTTGCCCAGGGGCAGGGAAAGCCCTGATTGCTCCTGTCCCTCATCCTCATCCATTCCCTCACCTTGTCCGTAGGTCACCCCCTCCCTGGGCTTTGTGTGTTTTGGGAGAAGTCACCAAACCAGAGTATTAATATGAAATCCCAGTCCCTTTTTTGTTCCTTCTCTCCTGCTTTAACTTAACCTCTGGCTGCTGGGCTGACAGCTCCCTGGGTGGGCCAGCCGTGAGGGAGACCCTCTCAGACGGTCTTGACCCAGCACACACGCTGTCCCCTGCTTACAGGTGTTCTGGATGACAGTAGAGGAAATGGACATGCTCGGTTTGAATATCCCAGAATGCAGTGCTCCTGTCTCCTCTCACCTGTCCAGCTAGCTTCCCTTCCGGACCAACGGAAGAGGAGGAGACGGGAGGCACTGGAGCCTTTGGCTAGGAAGCTACTGACCAGGTGGCCAGTGAGTGGGGCTGGGAAGAAGGGCTGGGGAGTTAGGATGGCCCCTGTGTTTGGGTGTGTCTGAGCCTGAGGCTGGCATTGAACTTAGAGTTTCAAGTGTGCTCACGGTGCGGAGGTCACCTTGCCGGAGCCTGGGCTGGCGAGATAAAGCTGCCGTGATGCCCGGTGAGTTGGTTTGGCCGCTTCCCCCACCAGGGCCCGCCGCAGGCTCAGGGGACATTGCGCATGGAAGCTTTTGGAGGCCCAGACAGATTCCCCTGGGCCAGACGTTCAGGCAGGTGCTGCAGACAGGCTGCTTGTCAGCAAGCATTTCCCAGGGAGAGGACCGGGTCCAAGGCTCCCACCCGGTGCGTCTGTGTGATGACGAGCCCCTGGCGTTCGTGGCAGAGAGGTTTGCATGCAGCTCATCACGGATGTTTGGCACCACCTGGGTCTCGGGCCCTGTGCTGGCTGCGGTGGGTAGAAGCTGAGGGCTGGCAGAAGCTGCCCCTGGGCGGATGGAGTGAACGTTCCCGGCCCCCAGGCAGGAAGGACGGGACAGTGACGTCCAGGTAGAGCTGACCGGCTGCTGCTCTCCTTCCCTCTGCTCCTGTGGACCCGGGGGCCGTGGAGTGGTGGCCCGGCCTCCCCAGGCCAGCTCTGCGGCCTGAAGTGCCTTCTGATGGGTGTGCTTGCCCTTCCCCCTCAATACTTGGGACCTCTGTCCAGCTTCACACTTGCTGTTCAGCCCTGCGGGGGCCTCGCCGTGTGGCTGGGTCATGGACTGCATTTCTGCGGAGAGAAGCCTGCGGATTCGCCATCCTCCACTGGCCAGGGCCCGTGGCTCTGCCTCTGTTTGGGCTTTTCTGGACTCCTAGGGAATGAGGGCGGGTTGGGCACTGCTGAGGGCTGCCAGGCTCCAGGCCTGGGCTCTGGGTCGTTGTCCAGGTTTCTTGGTCTGGCCCAGGCCGTCAGCTTCCAGGCCTGGTTTGGGGGCTGGTGTTTGGGGCAAGGGTTCAGGATGCTGCAATCTGTGCGATAATAAATCTGCATCTGCTCACAGGCTCCGGCGGGGCTGTGGCGTCTGCTTGTGGGCCCGGGATGCGGGACTGGTGGCGGGAGTGTGGGAGGCTGGGGGCCCTGGGCCATGCTGGTCTGGGCTCTGTCTGTGTCTTACAGTTCCCATAATACCTCGCGAGGGGCAGCTCAGGGACCACAGACTTTACTGGGCAGACCCCGAATCTCTAAAGCTGAGTTCCAGAAGCTTCCCTGAGCAGCATATGGTAGAAGAAAGAGCCCACCTTTGAGGTCAGGTCTTCCGGGGCTCCAGTCTCACCTACTTATTTTACTTCTTACTTCTCTGAGCCTCAGTTTCCTTATCTATAAAATGGGGAAGGTGCCCAGCCGGAGTGGCTCAGTTGATGGAGCATCGTCCTGTGCATGGAAAGGTAACCTGTTTGATTCTTGGTCAGGGCATATACCTGGGTCTCTCTCTCTCTCTCTCTCTCTCTCTCTCTCTGTGTGTCCTCGGGTAAATGGGGGAAGGTAGTAGAACCAGGTAGCTCCTGGGGTGGTGGTAAGGATTACATTAAACGCTGAAGCTTATGGGGGCCCAGCTATAGAAAGCAGTTGAGGATGGAGATTAATGTCATCACTACTGTTGCACGACAGTGCTACCATTAGCCCTGGGCATTTTGATCGAAGACCTTGGAAGCCCCAAAGGGGTGGAGATGATTTAGGCCCCAGTGAGAAGGCCACAGGACGTCTCAGAGGGGGACCCAGGGGCCATCTTCAGACTCGACAGAGGCGCAGAGAGACTTGCCCCAAGTTGCACAACAAGTCAGTGGCAGGAAAGCAGTTGTCTTGACCTGT